CCCACATACAGCAACTAGAAGGATGTGCAGCTGTGACATACAACTATCTACTGGAGCTTTGGGGGGAAAAAAAATAAATAAAATTTAAAAAAAAACTAATCGTTTCAGTTGCTTTCATAAGTATTAATTAAAATAAACGAAGCCAGTTGCATAATTATTCATATTTGTAGAGGAGGTCTAAAATATCACCAAAAATATTGTACTATGTAATATTACTCGCTTCTCTCCATTCTAACCACTGGAGAGTTAAAAATAAGTGTCATAGAGTTTGATTCTTAAACACTCTAAAATTCTATTCTACAACTGGGATTTTATAATCCAAGAAACAATGAAAGTCTGAAATACCCCCAAAAATTTGACGTGAAGCATAAATCTACACAACCGAACTCTGAGAAGATACTTTCAACACAGCAAAAATGCTTAGTGGCAATAATGATAAAATAACAATAATAACAAAGGTCTGTGCAAGAGAAAGACGTTTTGGAGCTCTCCTTCCAAAAAATAAACGTTGAACAACTTTATTTACAGAGGAGCTCCGACGCCACAATCCTCCCGAGGCTAAAAGATTCTCTGAAAGCACCTTCCAAGACACCCTAATCGTCCTCATCCAAAAACCACGCCCCGCTAAGCCACCGGCATTCAAGCAGAAACTTGGGCCACACCTGCTGGCCCACCTCCAGCAGAACCCACCTCCAGCGGGGACCCCGCACCTCCAGCAGGACCCGGCACCCCCAGTAGGACCCCCTCCCACCTCCAGCAGGACCCCGCAACTCCAGCGGGACCCCTCACCTCCAGCGGGACGCCGCACCTCCAACAAGACCCCCCCACCTCTAGCAGGACCCCCCACCTCCAGCGGGGACCCCCCACCTCCAGCATGACCCCCACCTCCAGCAGGGCGGCTCCACTTCCAGCGGGACCCCGCACCTCCAACAGGACCCCCCCACCTCCAGCAGGACCCCGCACCTCCAACAGGGCCCTCCACCTCCAGCGGGGCCCTCCACCTCCAGCAGGACCCCGCACCTCCAGCAGGGCCCTGCACCTCCAGCAGGACGACCGCACCCCAAGCAGGACCCCCGCATCCCCAGTAGGACCTCCCTACCTCCAGCAGGACCCCCTCCCACCTCCAGCAGGAGCCCTACCTCAGCAGGACCCCCCACCTCCAGCAGGACGCCCACCCGCACCGTGCTCTTCTCTGCGCTCTTCCTTTCTCTTTACCAAGAGGACCAGAATGGGGCTCCCACTCGGCCCGGCCTCTCGGACCCTCGCTTTGGCTCTGAGCGGTCACAAGCTCCCCTGATTCAGCGCTCCCCTCGCGGGCCTCCCTCCGGCGTGGGGAGTCCTCCAGCTTCCCGTCCCTCCGGCCCGCACTCCGGGCCCAGAGGGCCTAGGCCGCCGCTCCGGCCCGCGCCCCGCCCCGCCGGCCCTCCGGCCGCCCCCTGCCCCGCGTACCTGGCGCTCCAAGCCAGGTGCAGCCGGCTCCCGCCTGCTTCCCCGCCGCAGCCCGGCGCTGAGCGACTGCCTGGCCTCGGGGGCGGAGTCCTTCCGGGGTCAGGAGGGGAAGGTGGAGGGAAAGTGGCGGGGGCCCTCTGGCCTTTCTGCCGGAGGGGCTACATGTGAAGCCGCTCACGCCATTTTTGTTTAGGGTAGAGGCTCCGGCCTTGCTAGACAGATGTAAGAACTGGGTTGGGAATATTGCATCATTTTACAATGCTGTAAAGAACTAGTATCGTGGTTCGTGACCTTTGGAGGATCTAGGACCATTCTGCGAATCTGGTGAAAACTATGGGGACTTTCCTCCAGAAAAATGAACAGAGACACGCTCGTACACTGTTAAAAGAAAAATACCTATGTACAAATTAGGACGCCCGAAACCAACCCATGGGTCCCAGATTGAAAACTTCTACCACAGACCCTCAGCCCCTAAACGAATGAATGTTAAGAGACATTCCAACCCTCTATTGACGATGAAGTTATTACTGATTTCTATTCCTCTCTAACTTTTCTCCACGTTTCCCCCTGAGTTAGGCTACCAAAAATACTTGAATATGGCCAACTTTGAGGGGTTAGGCAGGATATTCACTGCTCTGAGTTTCTGTCTAATACACAAAAATATACTAATTTGTAATACACATTATAAACTACATGTAAACTACATTATAAAATACTAATATACGTTAGTAAACTAATGGGGAGAGGGGGAGAACCACAAAACAAGATGCTGTTTATGCGGTTCTGAGGCGAAACATTCCGTCAGAACTGCAGATTTAAAAAACTCCAATTGCTGAGCATATTTGTGGTGAAAAGCCAAAATAATTTTGTAAGGGTAGCTAAAACATGAGAGCAAATGTTACTATTCCTGTCTAAGGAACAAGAGTGTACAATCCTTTCTGTTAGTTTTCAAAATTCCCATTTAGTCAAATGAAAAATAGGGAGCACGACAATACCAATCTGTGACGTTACTAGATGAACAGTAACTAAAAATGCACAGACTGAATTCTATGTGAAAATATTTTGCACTTATAAAGTAAATGTGCTCTTGACACTTGAAGAACCTGGAATTGGTATGGCTATTTTTGTTTATTCCTCCATCTCCCCTCTGCTGCCTCCTCCCTATTTCCCAGCACTTCCAAACCTTCCACATAATGGGAAGAACAGTAATAATGATGACTACCACTTAAAGCAACTTTCCTAAGAACATTATCTCCTTTAATTCCACAATAAACATTGTGAGAGAGATATTATTGCACTCTGGATATGGATTTTACTCTTTAACAGGAGAGTAAGGAATGCCATGTTTTGTTTTTCTAAATCAATACAATTTGCTCCAAGCCTCCTTTCTCCTGGGTTGCCAGAATATTCAATCTTAGTCATTATTGGGTGTATCAGTTAGGATGCTGTTAGCTACAAGCAAAAGAAAACCGAACAAATAGTGGCTTAAACCATAGGACAGGGTATTTCACATAGATGCAGCAGCAGGTGGACACATTCTCGTATTCGGACTTGATATCTTCTGCTATCATGACTCAGGAAAAAAAAAATGGGGCTTGGATTAATTCTAAGGGTCTGTCCCTCTGCCAGATAACCAAAGCCATCAGGTAATGCTCACCAAACCAGGGAGTGGAGTAATACTAGTTGTTTCTACTGTCCAAATTCTGAGTTGCTTGCCACATCAACCATTAATGAATTTGGGGGATCCTATATGCATAGTATTGAAACAATGCTGTGGAGCCAGACTGCCAGAGTTTGAATCCTTTCTCCGCTGCTTACTGGGTGTGTGCTCTTAGGCAAGGTACTTACCCTCACTGTGTCTCAGTTTCCTTCTTGGGATGTTGGGAAGATAAAAGATAATATTTGTAAAGTGCCAAGATCTTATGTAAGTTTTTAACTTGGGTTACTGTACCTCCATGGGATCCAAGGATAAAACTCTATTTCTATATTATTGGTTTCCCTTGTAATCCTATACATTTTGTTTTATGTACATAGAAACATTACTTTGAGAGGGGGGTCCATAGGCTTTACCAGAATGTCAAAGGGGTCCATGATACCAAAAAATGGTTAAGACCTTAGAACAATCCTGGCTTATATTTCCAAGATATAAGAAATATTTAGTGGGACTTTTGCATGTCTTTTGGCAGAAGCACCAAAGCTGAGCAAAATAGATCCCAAGTGCTCTGAGCGTTCTAAAAAAGAATGCTAGATCATCCACACAGGGCATGCTAGGAGAATGCGAAGCCCATTTAGCAATCCCTCAGGCTTCACATACCTCCAGGGAATGATATAGCAGAATTGATCAAAGAAGATTGGAGAATGAAAATGCCTAGGAGACAGTTTTCTGGAGGGCTGTGCATTTTCCTTCCCTTTCCTTAAAAGTCGGGAGAGGAGAGTGCTTATCCCATCCTACCCCCACCTCAAGCAAAGTGAAGGAGCTTTAAGAAACTCAGACAACTTGACCTCTGTGCCCTGTAGTTTATGGCACCTGGAAAAATCTAAAGGGACTAGACTATCCAAAGAGGCCTTTGATGGCAGAGCAGAGAGTGCAAGTGCAAAGAGGACTGCAGTGCAAGTAGTCTGTACTTGCAATTTTGCAAGAGAAGTTCTCCTGTTGGCCATAGGATTGCCACAGAAGTGAGCCAGGCTTGAATTATCTTAAAAGGTTGTATCTTCAAACCAGGAGCTAAGTGGACCATCTAAATGGTTAGCCACACATTTTTTTTCCAATGTTAGGAGACGAAACAGTGAGAGGTCCCCAGCAAGGGGGGCAGTCATTGAGGAGCCCACAAAAAGGCCCTATAAGAAAAGAGCCAGTGTTGAGGAGTAGGCCACATGTAGGAGGCACCATAGTCAGATTTAATTGCACTGATTGGGTATACCTGATATTGTATTTGGGATATTTAGGATCACTCGCAGCTGAGATAATATATGGCCAATGTACTTCATGAATTATTGGTGGAAACAGCACTTATTAAGTGACAACATTAAGCCTGACCAAAGTCTATCACTTTGAGAAATTAAAAACAATTACATCACCTAAGTAGATGAATTCTTTTAGGTAATTCATATATCCAATGACCTTTTCCATTAACTGCTAAAACCTGGCAGAGTCCCCAGCAATAACTCAGGGCCTCCTATTAAATCTACACAATGCCATAGGGTATATACTGGCTGTTGTATCTTTGTTCTTGTCAACCACCCAAGGACTCCTCCACAAGTCAGAACTAAGCCAACCAAGGCATCTAGAATTCAGAGTATGGTTCTAGATGCTAATTTAGAACATCTATTCCATACACATCCAAATATTGCAGATTCATTTCCTCAAAATATTAAACATAGAGTTACCATATGACCCAGCAATTCCACTCCTCGGTAATACCCAAAAGAAATGAGAACATACATCTACGTAAAAACTTCTACATAAACGTTCTTAGCAGCATTATTCATAATACTAAAAAGTAAAAACAAACCGAAATGTCCATCAACTGATAAATGGATAAATAAAATGTGGTATGTCCATATAATGGAATATTATTTGGCCATAAAAAGAAATGAAGTACGGGCCCGCCCCGTGGCTTAGCGGTTGGGTGCGCTCGCTCCACTACTGGTGGCCCAGGCACGGATCCCGGGCGAGCACCAATGCACTGCTTCTCCGGCCATGCTGAGGCCGCGTCCCACATACAGCAACTGGAAGGATGTGCAACGATGACATACAACTATCTACTGGGGCTTGGGGGAAAAAAAAAAAGGAGGAGGATTGGCAATAGATGTTAGCTCAGAGCTGGTCTTCCTCAGCAAAAAGAGGAGGATTAGCATGGATGTCAGCTCAGGGCTGATCTTCCTCACAAAAAAAAAAAAAGAAAAAAGAAATGAAGTACTGATATACGCTACAACAGGGGTGAAACTTAAGAACATGCTAAGAAGCCGGTCATAAAAGATTAGGTATTTTATGATTCTATTTATATGAAATGTCCAGAATAGGCAAATCTATAGAGATAGAAAGTAGATTAGTGGTTACCTTAGGGCTGGAAGGGTTGGGGGGAAATGGAGGTGACTGCTGAAGGGTATGGGACTTCTTTTTGGGGTGGTGAAATGTTTTAAACCTGGATTGTGGGGCTGGTTGTGCAAATCTATGAATATAGTAAAAACTATTGAATTATGTACTTTAAATGTGTGAATTGTATACTATGTGAATTATATCTCAACAAAGCTGTTACTCCCCCAAAATTGTTATTGCCATTTCTTTCTTTTTTTTTTTTTTTGTGAAGAAGATCAGCCCTCAGCTAACATCCATGCTGATCTTCCTCTTTTTGCTGAGGAAGACTGGCCCTGAGCTAACATCCGTGCCGATCTTCCTCCACTTTACATGGGATGCTGCCACAGCATGGCCTGACAAGCGGTGCTTCGGTGCGCGCCTGGGATCCGAACCCGGGCTGCCAGCAGCAGAGCATGCGCACTTAACCGCTATACCATGGGGCCAGCCCTATTATTACCATTTCTTAGATCAAAAAAATCAAAGCTTAAAGAGATTATGAAAATGGTAAAATCTAGAGATTTGAGGCCAGAGAATAATCTGGAACATGCTCTCCCTGCACTGCCTCAGTAGTTGTCAAAATGCTGTGCTGCTCCAATAGGAGGCATGCACTCTATTGGGAGGTATTTACATCAAAACATAAAAGAAATAGACAACACAGATGTTTTTCTAGTAAGAGCTTAGGTAAATAAGTTTATTCTAAAGTCACTTTAACATAAAGAGCAATAAAATTAAAATTAAACCACATGGAAACAAAAGTTCCTATTTTGCACGTTTGGAAATCTTATAACAGGGCGGACCCCGTGGCTTAGCGGTTAAGTGCGCATGCTCCGCTACTGGCAGCCCGGGTTCGGATCCCAGGCGCACACTGACGCACCACTTCTCCAGCCATGCTGAGGCCACGTCCCACATACAGCAACTAGAAGGATGTGCAACTATGACATACAACTATCTACTGGGG